GGTCTCCTGGCAGGGTGCACAGAGAAAACAAGATTAGGGTCAGTATGTCACTGCAGATTCTTATTTTAAGCTATATTCTCCCCCCCCCCAACTTAAAGAAAATTATTCTTCCTAGAACAGAAAAAAATTGTAGCGGTTAATTTGCTTTAAATGTAATTTTTAATTCGAAACCTCAATTAAATCATATTGAAGCTCTGAATGTTTTTAAACAGTCTAAGGAAAAATAATCTAGCTGAAGTCTTCCTGCAAGGTGAACCGTGTCGCCAGTGGGGATGGAGGCGCAAGAGTCGTGACAGTTAAGCGAGCATTGGACGATAGGGTGTTTACTCATTAAGCACGCAGTTCCTTTGGAACCACGAAAGAGTATAGTTCTCTGGTTTGCATGGTTGTGTGGGTGAGTAGCTTTGTGTGCAAGAAGTTTTTTTTGTATGTGGACGAGGTGTAGTTAGCTTGTGCAGTTTTGTGTAACTTTGTTCGTGTGGGTGATCCTAGTGACTGGGTGCGTATGTTACATAGAGGTTGCTTACTTTTTGGTTGTATTAGTGAAAATGTTGATTTGATGCTGAAAGAAATGTAGGATGATATTCTCCTCACTACTTTGTCAAACTTAACGCCTGTAGTTCGTTCAATGAACTGCTATCGAACCACAAGTGGACATAATGTACAAAAGTGTTTTAGAATATACTACAAATTAGCGCACTCGGTTAAAAAATAAAAGATTGTTGATAATATTCAGATAAAATGTTAATATATAATAATGGTTTGCATTTGTTAATTTTCATTGTGTTTCATTTGTTAATTTTCTTAATTGGAATTCTTACAGGCAATTTAATCTTGGGTGCAACGCTGCTGTATAATTTTTCGCGCCAGTCTTGTGAATGACGCTTCTCAAGATGCAAGTCACCGCATCCACATGCTGCAACATGCCTTGATTGTGGTGGCAGTGAAAACTCTGAGGAGATGCATTATTTGTCCTTCTACGGAAGAGACGAAAGTTAGTTGCGGTATCCTGCTGTATATCATGCCGAATTGACAAAATTGTTCTGCGGGTAAGTGTCAAATCAAATAGGCCCTTTATTTGTGGAGTAGGGTTGGATTGTAGATAAAGTGCCAAAAGTGTTTTGTGGGAGGTTTAGTTGTGATGGACGTGAGGGAAAGTGTTGTGAACACAGAGGGATTAGTAAAGTTTGTGAGGATGGGTGTTGGCAATAGTGCATTTCATTTTTGGACTTTGAGAAACATTGGGTTACGTAATCTATAGTTTCGTGGAGCCGTAAAGGTAAAGTTCGTGGAGGCATTGGCATAGACAGAGACGATGAATATATTTGTGCGGTAGGGAATATGGGGTAATTATGTTAAAAGTTGACTGGCCGGAGGATAGTGGGTGGATGGTCATGTTGACCAGAACCGCGGAGAATATGTGAGGGGCACGTACTTACTGTTCATTGGTAGAGTGAGTGTTCCGATGCTCGTAAGCCAATAAATGTTGCCAGGGAGATAGTGGGAAGGGATGTTGTGCGTGTTTGAGGAAAGTGGAGTTGAGTGAGCGGGGCTTTTTTTTGTGCGTGTGCTTATTTGTGGGATGGATTTGAGTGGAAGTGTGTGTGTGTGTGTATGGGGGGGGGTATGTGCTAGGTTATTTAGGAGGAAATGTTAGTGGAATGTCTACCTGAATGATTTTTTTTATGGTGATGTGAAATTCATGAGGGAATGTGATGAGATACGAGCCCTTTTGTGGTTATAGATGAGAGGTATTTGATGCGTTTGATAACTTTACGTTTGAGTTCACGGGTATTTCTGAGTGGGTTATTTGTTTGCGTGAGTGGATTATGTGCCCATGTTTAGTTTAGGGTGGAGATTGTGTTAAGTCTTAGGTTGAGTAGATGTTAGTGAAATTTTGTAGGATGGTCGATTGAAAGTTTGGCGATATGTGGGAGGGTGGGTTATGTAATGTGTAGGCATTTCGTTGTAAAGTCGGTTAGTACGTAATAGTTTTATGGGGTTAGGTACAAGAGATGAGATTGGTTTGTTTCTCTAGCGTGTTGTGGTAAAAAAATATTTAAATTACTCTCCCATTATTCAGGTGTCTGGGAATAAAACGGAACTTCGCAAATAAGCTCATAAAACAATTTTAAGCATATTTTCTCCAATAAACTCCGTCAGTATTTTGAATGAGCCGTAATAAACACTGAAAAGGTGGTTTGAAACAATATTTTTTATTCAGAAATTTGCAGTTCACAAACATACAAACACTTCGAAAATGTACCGCCACTCACACTCCAGACACATGTAAATTTATTATTATCCAAAGAAATTAATGAATTTATTGGCAAAAAAATTAATAGAAACAAAAAACACAGAAATAACTAAGCTCTCAATTTACATACACAATTGCATCTTTAATTTCTTAGCGATATTTGTGAATTACAATGTATTTTCATACGTTTTTACACATTTTCAGCTTTTGTAATAATCAATTTGTTATACTAATGAGGACTGTCTCTTCAAACTTGTTATTGTGTATTACTTTTTTGCAACCTTTGAACTAGCGGTGGAAATTGTAAACATTTATCATTGCAATTTGACAATAGGGGTGGAATACTTCAAAACATTCAAATGATTTGTTTATATTTTATTGAAGTTTTCACATCTTTATTTTTGAATATTTACCAAGAAAACTTTTTATATTTCATTAAATGTTCAATAACAATCATTTCGGATGATTGTAGTAAGTTTTCAACTAAAGTGTACCAACACTTAAATTTTTTTTGATTTTGCTTTTATATTTTGTGAAACAGAATGGATCCTGAATGTTTTAATGTCATTATAGATTATCTCCCAAATAACTGGATATTGTAATTTTTATTCTAAAAACTGAATGTAGTTTAAATTTAGTGTTTAGTCTCATCAAAGTAACAGGAAAATTCTATGTGACAATTTATTATATTTGCCATTTTATCCTATTAACTCTATTTATATTGTTTGTGTCATATACATTAACACAGAATTGAAAGGATTTTTATTAAAAGTTATTGCTTAATTTTTCCTTGCAACTTAAGATTTCTCTCATACTTCAGGAGTGTCGAACGCGCAGTGGAAAGCAGCTGTAAATCTCGGAAGAGGTATGTTGTTCGCCTGTTAAGATACCCACGAGACTTAAATCTTGTAGCGTCTGGTACCGGGAGCTACGATGATACCAGTGCTATTGGTAATTTCTTCCCGATGGAGCTGAACCCAGACTCCTACTCATTTCGGTATCAAAGAAACAATAAACACAAATTCTAAGAGCTATATCACGGTCTCCAAATGTCACGGGAATGGGTAATATCCACAAAAAACAATGCAACGAAAAATTAATTTCCATTGTAGCTACTTAAAATCAAGATATTGAACATCGTATAACTTCATAATTATGTCCTATCTTGCAGACTTACTACAAACTTTACAAATTAACGTAACAATGTTTTTCAATATATTTAATAAAATGCTTTAAAACCTAAAAATACTCTTACTAATATATTAAATTATATTTCCAAAAATATATTATAAAATAAAAATATGATAAATATAAATGTTTCTTCCCAATGAAATAGTTAACGTCAATGAGCAAGTCGATGAAGTGGGGGATGGGCGCGCAAGTCGATGAAGTGGGGGATGGGCGCGCAAGTCGATGAAGTGGGGGATGGGCTTCTGAACTATTAGTTGTTCAATGTGTCACTATGATTTATAATATTATTTTATCCTATTTTCTAGCGACATTGTCTTTATCAGGCATAATTTAAGATAAATGTTCTGTTAACAGCCAGTGGCAATATAGTACTGAAATAAAAAAAACTGTGTGCCTACATGACCTCTTTCCGAATGAGAAAATGTGGTCTTTAGAAAGTCTTATAAAACACAGTAAATTTAATATATATATACATTACATTATATATTAGGGTCTATTTATGTAATCTTTATCACGCACAGTTACTTAAGTTTTTCAGAATTCAAATTTCCGAATTAATAGCGAGAATACACATGTTAAACAGGTTTTTTCCAAATTCTAAAAAATAATTTAGAACGGATATATTTACATTCACCAAATATTTTTCACAGGATTTCATTATATACACACATGCGCCTTGATTATATTGAATTTTATAGGTATAAGGATCAAGCTTGTCCCGAATATTTATAGAGCTCTTTTTTTTATCACAAGGATCGTAACATAACTTAAGTTAAAATCTACCACTTAGTTGTTTTTTGTTTCCTTCAGCATTTGGGATGAGGATTGTCTGCAAATGTCTTAAACAAGTACAGAATTTTCACTGCCCAAAACTTAAGCTCTTTCTAAAATTTGTTCAGAACTTCCAATTTGTGATTCTTTCTCGTTTTGTAATTATGATGATCCACTATTCCTGGGTAATGTGCATATTACGTTTCTTTTCATCCGTCCACTATTTCAGTTTCTTTTCATTTTCATAGCCCCTTAATTATGGGTAATTAACTCCCTTAATTAGTCTCGATGGCAATACTTTGACTAAGTTCGCTGACACACATTGCAACTACGGTTCTAACACTCAAAAAATTACATTGCATACCTCGGAAACAAGATTTATGTAAAACTCGTATGCCATCATGAGTCAGATACAACCCATTTCGCTGAAAACAGAATTACTTCCATTAAGTCTAAAGGTGAGTGGTCACCCATCAATCATAAATTCATTTTGAACATAGTATTTCGATGTATCCCATTGTTTATTTCGATGCTGCAATTGTATAAGCGAGTGCTGTACACTAATATCAGATAAGATGCGTCGAATTGAATCTGCTGAAATGAGATCTTAGTTTTGTGACAGAGTATTCACTGTTAGTCCACAAAAAAGAGCAGATATCAGAGAATTATATGTATTGAGCTTGGTATAGATGAAAAGAAATATCGAGAAAACTGGAAAGGTCATGTCCTGACAATGCGTCAAAAGACGTACGTTAAAGTTAGTCTGTGTGCTCCCCTGCAGGGACGAGCATGGGTCTTGGACACAAGCTCTCAGCAGTGACGACCGTCGCGTAGCAGTTAACGGACGTCAAACGCCAGAATGCAAACGATGTTCATGTAAGTATTGTTGCATCTTAAACTTCCATAGCATGCAGACCACACAGAGCACCAGCAATGTACGTTGGACATCTTTATGGGTCAGGCATACGTTTTTGCATTCATAACACAAGTAGATTCGTCGAAAAATTAATTCCGTACGAGTATGCCAACATTTTTTGTTATTGTTGTATGGTCCATTTTATATTGGTTTCTTGATATTGGTAACTAGCCGTCGAATATATCATATTTTGAGAGCGCAGCTGTGAACAATGATTCGGATATTAGTAAATAAAACAAAAAAATATCGGTTGTATAAAATCTTAGTGTAAAATGTTCCTTTCAAAAGCTGTTCGCTATTAATGGCATGTGTCCACTGTCTCTTACTATAATCTTTTATAAGTTTGTCTAATTTAACCTGGTTGCTAGCACAAGACGTGCAGGATGTTCGTTGCGTTGTATTCGACGTCCGTTGCGACGCTGCATTTGACGATGGGTAGTGAGCGTACTCGTGTGACCCGCCAACCAACGGTCGTCAAATTAACTTAAGTCGACGTACATCTTAAAACGCTGGTCTAAGACAATTTTATACAATAACCTGTATTACTTTATTACTCTTATTTCTATGTACTCAAATGACCCGTTTCAGGTATTATGTACCATGGCATAAAAGCATGAACCAATCAAGACTGCTACTTCATATTCTGAAAAATATTGGATCTGTACAAAGTTTTGAATATTTTCAGTTCGTTTGCTATAGTTTTTACGTTAAATAACATTACGCATTAAGTAAATTATCGATTTTTTGTATGTTGAATATTGTTTAAAATGTAATAAATGTGACATAATGAAAATAAACTGCAATTTTTATTCTTATTTTCATATTAAATGTTACTCATTTTTTGCTTCCCTTAAACCAAAATTTTCCAAACGAGACATTTAATCAAATATTTCCTTAGCAGGTAGAGGTAATATCTCCCATATGAATAAATTCAGAGGTTCTGCATGTAATTCATCAGTCTGGTGGGTATAACTAATGAAGATGCGCAGACTGGAATTTAGATCTCACATTTAAAATTGAGACTTTGTATATAAAAACTAAAATAAAGTATCAAAAAATCAAGAGAAATGTAGTTTTTATTTCTTTGGAAGATAGAAATACCGTTATTTTTCTCTTTTTTCTCGCTGCCGCCTACGCAGTAGGAAGGTAAGTAATGCTGTGCGAAATAGCGAATTTTAGGCAGAAAAACTCTTACTACATGGCCTTGGAACAGAAAAAGTGAATAAATCCAGTTACGAATATTTTTAAAAAACCTTGAAACATGTGTAACCTGTATCCATGCTTTTGGGTCTTCTATCCCACAATTCGAACGACGACTCTTCGTCTGCGAACAACGCCGATCAGACGATGTACTCCAAATTTTGTTCCCTACTTGACCTGGCCCATGAATTTGAATTTTTCCTCTTAAATTTCAAACCGAAATTTCAATTTTTAAGATACTATCCATGAAACCTCGGAACATTTTCAAAAAAATTAATTGATTTTGATTAAATTTAGTTGTTGGGTAGAGTGTGATACGTTTAAAAGAATGGTGCACGTCTCATTTTCGTTAAAAACTTTTTTTTTTCGAAAGTTGGAAATATATTTTTAAAAAATCTACAGCTACAGTTCTCAAAATATTTTTTTCTTAAAAAATCTGTTCCTTAAAGATAGATTTCGAAATATGATCATGCACAAATTTTCAAAAATTTCAGTACTTTTTGCGTAATTTTGTCTGAAAGTATGTGCGAGAAAGAACATGTTATTAAACCACAAGTTTTACATAATATTGCGATGTTCTAAATGTAATTCCAAAACAGGTACAGTCTGTGATTTCCCAAAAAACAATACTTAAAAGGAATAAAAGTCTATCGGTCATGCATTTTTTTTAATGGCAACGGATGTCACTCACGAAAACACATAATCGAAAATTCAGTGACAAATTTGTTAATTTCCATCATGTTAAAAATACAAGTAAAGAGAGGTTGGTAAAATTAAATGATTAGGCACGTGACTAACTGTATAGATGGTACAAAGTTGAATGTTTGTGAATAATTGATTGAATCAAATAAAAAATATTATACAATTTGTTTATTGATATTTTTCTCAAGAAACACCAAATTTGCTGGTAACAATTTCCTTGATCCACTTCATGATTTTCTTAATTTTTGTCTATATATTTTCTCAGCCGTGGCTGCTCAATAGTCAAATACTTATACTCAAATCAAATTTGTTGGAGTATTTTGGTTACAGTATGTCAAGACTCCATAAAGAATAGGTGATAAAATGAAACGGCAGCCAAAAAACATAGACTAGTAGGTCAACACAGAGAGCAAAATTATTACAGAATAGTTTCATTTTATATAGAAAAGATTAACATACGTATATTATAACAAGATAAAACATATTCCGTCGTGAACTGCAACAGTGGGAAATATCCATTGCCGAGACTGCAGGCACGAAAGTCGCAATCAAGCATTACTCCAATTAACCTTAACCAAGTCCATCATGCAAGGTCTCTATTACATAAGTGTTATTAGAGTTATACATGTCATACACATCGATCAGAGCCAGTGTGTCTGCTTCA